ATCGTCTGCAGCGGGGCTGCCATAGCTAAGCGCTTGAGAAAGAGTACTTTAGGTCACCGACATTTCGTTCTTTACAAAAACCAAGTATGAGTTAGCGGATCGCAATCCGCTACCTCCAAGAGTAGTTAGTACCTTAGCCAAGGCTAGTAAATTCTTCGGTTTAAACTCAAAACTGATTTTTATTAATTTTTATCTGCGGCAAAGCCGCTTACTTTTATATGTCTAGATTTTCCTGAAATATATAGTAAATTTTAAATACATGCATAACCTAGCCACATACCGAATTCTTGTTTGGGTGTGTGGTCACACCATGCCTATCTCGAGATTTTCGTAATAGAATCGGGAATTACGATGTCGACGTCGGACGTGCTGGCCACAGGGAATGAGGGAGTGAGCGTCATCGCAGACGAAGGCTTATTTGGGGTTCTAGATAGTACTGATTTTGCGCCTATAGCCAAAGTATAAGCATAATTTATTTCTTGCAGAGCGCCGCGCGGATTTGCAAGAGCGCAAGCCGTTTGCGCTACTCACAAGCTTTTAGATAACAAATGCATCGAAGATACGTTTGCTACACTAGAAAAAGTTGTCAGCGAAAATGCAGACGTATAGGATCTGTTGGATGAGGGCGATGACGCAGAACTGTAACGTTATAAAATCATACTTTGACAAAGCTGCAGACACCACTGGATCATTTCTTCTTGGTTGTCTGCAGCGAGTTTGGATGTGACCGCCTTTTTGTAGTTGGTTGTGCCCGACCAGCAAATCTGCAGTTTTGTCAGATTATGATGCTTAACGTCACAGGAGGATGTTGCTGTAAATTTAGCGGAGGTGTCTGCTGCGGTAGGTTTGGCAGTAGTGTCTGCTACTGCGTCATCACCTTCATCCACAACACTCTGCATATCTGCATCTTTATTGACAGCATTGTCGGGGGTAGCATAGAGGTAATTGATGAGAATATCGTCATCAACAGGGTCCAGTGCTACCCGTGAGCTGCGCAAACGTAATCGACTGGCGTGTGGTCTAACAAACCCCGCGCTGAAGATAAGCAAATCATGGATCAGACACTGGTTGTAGGCGCGATCTGGGATCTATGTGTCTGCTGCGGTGCCTATTACCTGTGCCGGCACGTCCGGCGTCGATATCCTCGTCGGTGCTGCTTTATAAGATTTCCTCGAGAATAAGACAGGCCAGCTGGATTCGTACGTAGAGAAACAACAAATAAAAAATTCCAGCTTTCGACTCTCAAGACCTTTGACTATGAAGAAGCATAATAAAATCATTAGCCAATACCACAAAGACATCGTAGGCTGCTCTCAGCCCGTTATTGTACTGTCGCAAATAGCTTGCCTAAAGAATTCTAATATTGGGCTACAAAGAAGCAAAATTACTTGCATACAAGGCTCAAGGTTTGGGCTAACTCACGATTGGAACGCTTGGAACATTGTGTTTCCTGTTGGTTAGATGCTTGGCGCAATTCGACCTCTCGACCACTTGTCTTGTAGCTTTAAATGAAAGCGCTGTACGCACGAGGTGATGCACGCTTCACATGCGAAAGAGCGATGAAGCCACGCACTGGATCCGTCCAGGCTATACGGCCCACTAAACAAAAGCATTGAAGAAAGAGTCGCTATGTCGGTTAAAGTGGTGGAAGCTTGCCGGTATATAATATATTTACAAACACTAACGGCTGATAATGTAATCGATCTCTCAAGATCTTAAAGCACAACCGTGAAATATACCTGATTGAACATTGAGCCAATTCTAATTAATCAAAATTTTGTGGAATGGCGCGTGCTTGTAAAACACATTCCTTGTACCAGAAAACTTTCAGTTTCATGCGCTCACGTACTGAAGAAAGGTTTACAGAAACCCAAAACATTACCCAAGAATAATACAGAAAGACACGCTAGAAGCTGTGTTGCGTGTTGTGTTGTATGTCATATGTACGCCGTGTTGATTGCTATATTGTTGACAAGCTGTGATGCTTCTTGTTTTAATAAGCATGACATATTTTCCAAACTTTGAGTGACAAATCTGTGATTGTCAGATAGGCCTTAGTTTGGAACTGCTGAGGTTTGAGGGATTCTCTGAAAAAGCGTATTGATATACGGGAAAACTTTTATGCAAATGTCAAGACGTGTGTATCAATGTAGGCAAATCACGTGCAAGTCAATATTTCTCGGTGAGCAAAAGCGTTACCGACTGTTTTGAGTGGGGCTGGAACCGAGTATAGTAGTTCGACGGCAAAAGACCTTGACTCGATGCGACAATCAGTGGCTGCTTACGCACAAAAGAACAAGAGATATTGACAGTGGAAATGCATATGACACTTCTCGTCTACCAAGTGATGCTCGTGGTTGTTTTTAGGCACGTAAGTGACGAGTCGATGGCGAAGTGCGCTCTCAGTGGGACAACTGTATGGTGTATCCAAAGGATATCATGTTTACAACGGAGAACAATAAATTTGGTAAGTAGAATGTTATTAGCAATGAAATAACACCCAAAGAGTGAAAATGTTCGTGCTTATTCTAAGGCAGTCAGAATATACCGTATCAGCACTTGATGTTTGTTGCTCGGTATGTTCATCAATTTGTTTGCTTACTGGCCATAACCGTTCACGTGCGGTGGATTATGCTTCTGTCGTATGCTTTCTAAACTCATCATTGTATTTAAGCTGGTCCTGAATGTCGAAATTCGTCAACGTCGTTAACAAAATTTATACATGGAAGCTGACATGGAATAGCTGCAAAGAGCAACCGTAGCAAATTCTAAGCTGTCATTCACTATTGACGGAGGGCAAATACCAAAAACTGACGGAAGAGTACGAGTGTGTCTGCTTGACATCTACATTTGGACTGACAAGTGGTTGGCGCGCAGCTGAATTAGACCTGCTGGGTAGGATGCTTGCACGAGTAGAATGCGCTATTAGCAGTTATCATTTTTGGCGCTCGCTGCATCTGCAATGCGCTGAGAAATTGATACGTATTGGATTCAATTTCACAAACTATGGGCTGTCCGAAACGCTCACAGACCCTTATTCAAAACTTTCATTACATGTGTTGCATCTACATGTAATAAAGTTGATTTGATATCATTATCGTCGCTATCGCGTACCAGAGGGATATTCCGTGTTTAGCGAAGTACCAAACGAGCCAATATGCTCGTCATCTTATTGTGCTACGATATGTAATTTTATGCGTCAAAAATCGCACCAACTGTGCAAATGACAATATCAAACAATATTATCCGGTACAGAGCACTTCAGTTCGGTTAAATTTACCGAAGCAGCCCGATGATACATTTTGTGGTGTTCAAATTATAGCAAAGATGTATTCTGTTGTGAGCATAGCTTTTTGTCTACGCAAGATGTTATCACAAAGAAAATACTGCGGTCATGTGATGTCGATAATTGCTATGCATCCAGTACAATAGCAAAGCAAGCTGCAAGAGAGGTCGGAACAACGGATATGGAGCTGTTTGCGATCAATACTTTTTTTAGAAATAGTTTTGCATTTACATGTGGAATCACACCAATTAATCATAATCGTCCTCTTTTAGCGCCAAATTCCTGAACTTGACTTGGGTGTGCCTTGATCGATCCCGCTGAAAGCGGACCTCGCCTGCTACTCGTCATCTACGTGCCTCAAAACAACCACGAGCATCACTTGGTAGACGAGAAGTGTTATATATGTTTCCGTTGTCAGACTTCTTGTTCTTTTGTGCGCAAGCAGCCACTGATTGTCGCATCGAGTCAACCACCAAACTTCTTTACTCGGTTCCAGCCACACTCAGTACAGTAGGTAATACTTTTACTCACCTAGAAATATTGACTTAGCACGTGATTTACCTACATTGACACAAGTCCTGTTATTTGTACAATTTTTTTCCACTAAATCCATACACATTCTCTGAGCGAGCCTCGAAAACTCAGCCAGCCCCAAGCTACGGCCTCTCTGCAATCACAGAGTTTTCACTCAAAGTTTGGAAAATGTGTCATGCTTAAAAAAAGAAGCATCACAGCTTGTCAACAATATAACAAGCAACACGGCGTGCATATGGCATGCAACACAACACGCAACACAGCACCAGCTAGCTGTTCCACACCGATGGATGACAATTGGTGTGATACAGTTAGCTGGTGCGGTGTTTTGCAAATACAGCTTCCATCGTGTTGTGGTGTACCACGTTTTGGCAATGCATTGTTTTCTGTAAGCTTTCCCCAGTACGTGAGCGCATGAGACTGACACATAAGTATCTGGTACAAGAAAAGTCTTTTCAGGCACACGCCATTTCACAAAATTTCGATCAATGAAAATTTGCCAAATGTCTAATCAGGAAGACTTGTGTCGCTTCAAACACGCAATAATATACTCCATGGTAACAGCTCTCTGGCCCACGTCACGAAAATTGAAAATTTGGAATTCCACTCCCGGTAGCTGATGTGGCTACCAAATGATTAGCTTACACACAAACATAATAAACATGTTGAGTTATTGCTTACATTCATATAAACAGTTATTGATAAATCGGAATCAAAAATACTAAATAATACCCCGAGTTATTCACACCGTGATTACAATTGATCAGAATGCTGTCACCTCATTGCCGAAAGCATTTTCTTCTATGATGGAGGCTACATTACAATCACACAGATTACGTGCATTTAGTGTCTAACAAGGGGACATCGTTATTCTCTTAGACGGATGTATCCTAATGCACCTAGGTTTGCTACACCGTCAGAAAATCCAAAGATTCTAGCAATATCTTGCTAGATTGCTGCGTAATATAGACCGTATCTGATATCACCGATACCGCAGAACTGACAGCGACCATTAAGCTGATGTCATTTTCAAAAATTGAAGAAGAACTAATTCTGGCTTATACAGTACATCGTTCACGAGAAGCGCATACCCACCTTATCAAAATTTGTATATTGATATCAGTAGTGACGGCATTTATGTCTGTCAGAAGGCTTAGACCCTTGCAAGTCTTGACGGTGGAAGCATCGACTTGGCCCCGTGGTGTGACATGAAGATAGTCTTACTAGTTTCGCGGCTGTGCTTTGAGTTCTAGAGATATTGGATACCTTATCAGCCGTTAGTTAGTGTAAATATAAATATAATATATAGAGGCAAGCTTCCTCCGCTCACTTAGCGACTCCTTCACAGCTTTGATTGAGCGGGTCGTATGGCCTGAACGGACCCAGTGCATCTCGATCCGTGGTCTCATTGCTTTTTCCCATGTGAAGCGTGCATCACACCATGTTTACAGTGCTTTCGCTTAAAGCTACAAGATAGGTGGTCGAGAAGTCGAACTGCGCCAAGCCTACTAAGACACAGGAAACACAATGAATCAAACGTTTAAATCGTGAGTCAGCCCAAATCTTGAGCCACGATATCTTATGTGTTTCTACTAAGCTTCAGTGCTTGTACGCGGGAATGCAAATAATTTTATTTTTTCGTAGCCTAATATTGAGAATCGTTACGGTAAGCTAATTGCGACAGTACGATGACGGGCTGAGAGGAGTCTACGGGGTCTTTGTGGTGTTGGCTAATGATTTATTGTACTTAGTTCTACGCATAGGTCGCGAGAGTCAAAAGCTAGAACTTCCTATTTGTTTTTTTTGTACGTACGAATCCAACTGACCTGTCTTATTTTTTAGGATATCTGAGAAAGCAGCACCGACGAGACTATCGCCGCCGGGGATGCCGGCACAGGTAATAAGCGCCACCGCAGACAAAGGCAAAACTAAGTGCCTAAATCGCTCCTACAACCAGTGATCATGGTTCAATTATCTCCAGGGTAACGCGCGGGTTTTGTTCGATCATGGGTAGCTCAGGACCCTGTTCATGACGATGATTTCGTCAATTACCCATTTGCTACCCTCGATGATGTTGTTAATAAAGATGCAGACATACAGAGTCTTGTGGGTGATGGCGATGACGCATAGCAGACTCCACTGCCAAACTTACCGCAGGAGACACCTCCGCTAAAGGTACAGCAGCAGCATCCTGCGACTTACAGCATCATCATCTGACAAAGCTGTAGTCCTCGCTGGTCGCACAATTGTGGGCACCTCTGACTAAAAGTGGCAATCAAATCCAAACTCGCTGCAGACAACCAAAAAGAATCACCCAGCAATGTCTACAGCTTTTGTCAGCGGTAAAGGAAAGGTAGGCACTTGTGCTGTAGATGGCAAAAAGCAAAGTAAATATATTAAAGGTCCTTGGCTTGCTGTGCTATCTGTAGGCCTATCTAGAATATTCTACCAAATATTCTACTGGATTTATGTACCTTATGCGCTTGTGGATAACATCTTTGCTGGATAATTCACTGGACACTTGGCTAACCCACAAAACGGCAACTTGCGCAATCAGCGTGTCCACACTGGTAATATTGATACCTACCGGTTGGGAACTGCTCGTCGAAACGTTTCCATGGCATCACTAGTGTGTATGACGAGGCGGCGCATCTTTAACAACAAGAGTATGGTTCGAGAACGTTACAGTAAGCTGTACTGCGTCATTAACCTCATGTAAGAGGGCACTGTTCACGAACAGTTCCTCAAACACAACACACATGCTTGTGTGACGAAGTAGCGAATCCCGACGTGGAGGGAGAGGGACAGTCCCGACTTGGAGCGAAGGAGAACGACTTAATACCTTAAAGGTTGATGTACAACTGAATTAAAATGAGCCATGGTTCCTAGCTACATGCAAAACACCCCAAGGGTTCCTAGAGGTTTAACTAAAAAACCTTGGGTTCCTGATTTATCAATCAAGTGTGTAATAAGGTCGAACCTCAGCGTGAACTGATAAAAGATCTTCGGTGTACGGAGCTTAACTTTCGAAGCTTGAACCGGCTCTCGCCACCCACTTCTAAGGACAGAGACACGTCGGTCTCGTCACCAGTACAGATCCCCAAGTGGGAGTCAGCATTCTGTATCACACAGAATGTTTATAATTTCATATACTAAATCACGCATGCATTTGGAATGTTCATACTGCAATCTTCTTTTATAATTCCCCACAATGCATACAGAAAGCACCTTCATGTAATGGCTAAGAGTAGCGTATCACACGTCATCTACCAGATCCTGTATGTTTGCATTTTCATTGACAGCGTTTTCTAGCGTGGCAAATGTATCATTGATGCGTTTGTCGTCTAAATTTTATTGTAAGCTTGTGAACTGCGCGAATGTACGCGTTCTTGCAAAATCGCGCAGCGCCCTGCAAGGAAATAAAGTATGTTTAAACATAATCAGCACCATTTTGAATCTCACATGCACTCGTCTGCAATCGCGCTCATTCTGTGTGTCTTCACGTCCTTCGTCTAAATCTTCATTAAGTAAAATCTGGTTTCCTACTTTAAATGAAAAATATCCAATAGAATATTTTCGCTCAAACCATATAATTCCTATTTTTTATAATAGTCATTTCCGCATACTAGAAATTAATATTTACGAAATATCTGAGCGCTGTATGCCTACTTCTTGTAGTTTTCGATAAGACCAACATAAGCAAGTCCGCTGTCGGCGCAAGCAGCAAGAAGTGCGTACTTCCCACCTTCCTTCTGCAACTTGTTGGATGCCGTGTTCACGAGTCTGCTTCCAGTGGCGCCAAATGGATGTCCAAGTGCCAACGATCCACCCCACGTGTTCAATTTTTCCAATGGCACACGTCCGACAGCTCCATCCATATCAAATAGCTCCTTGCAGAATTTGGGTTCTGCTAAGGCATTAAGATTAGCAAGCACTTGCCCCGCAAATGCTTCGTGAATTTCAAAATAGTCGATGTCACTCAATTTCAACTTGTTTTTCTCCAAGATTTGCTTGATGCCATACGCAGGGCCAAGCAACAATGTCTCAAACGGATCCACACCGACAAAAAGCCAGTCTTTAAGTATCGATTTCGGCTGGTGTCCTAGCTCCAAAGCTTTTTCCTCTGACATAATCAGCGTCGCAGCAGCACCATCTGTCAAATACGACGAATTGGCTGCTGTGTGCGTGCCATGTGGTTTGATAAAAGATGGTTTTAGAGACGCAATCTTTTCAAGCGTAGAGTTTGGATTAATCCCATTCTCTTCCGTGCTTCCCTTGTAAGGCAAAATCTCTCCTGTATATTTGCCCTCCACATGAGCTCTATGAGCTTTCTGATGGGCATCAAAAGTGTACTGGTCCATTTCTGCCCTTGTGACGCCAAATCTCGTAGCAAGTCGATCACTTGACGTACCCATGATTTCCCTTGTGTGAAAATTTTGTATAGCTGGAGCAACGGGCGCAAAGTCTGCAAGTTTTAATCCTTTCAGCAGCTTAAGAACACCAAATGGGCCCTTTTTCATGGCTTTTGGGACTTGAAGAAGTCTCTCTCGAATAGGTTTTGAAAACCTTATAGGAACATCCGAAAAGGTTTCAACACCTCCAGCCAAGACGACGTCAGCATGACCTGAGAGAATCTTTTCAGCGCCTGTACAAATGGCTTGACTTGACGAGATACAAGCTTGTGTGACAGTGTGCGCTGGTACGTGTTTCGGAATCCCTGCACCCAATGCTGCCTCACGAGCAATGTTCGACGTACCAACTTCTTGGATAACTGTGCCTGCTACAACGTAATCAATCGAATTTGGGTCAATTGCTGTCTTATTGATAAGTCCCTTGTAAGCATCGCGCATCATGTCGTAAGCAATGACATCTTTGTAAATTGTACCAGATTTAGCAAATGGTAAACGAATACCATCAACAACAACCACACGCTTAGCTGTCGTAGTCGACAAAGTACGTGAAAAGTAAGAAGTTATGGGGAGAATTGGGCCTTTACGTAGCATTGTAAAGAAATCCACAGAAATTTAGAAATGAAAAGGTATCTGACGACTGTTCAAGAAAGAAATGGGCTCTTCTGATTGGGCAACTTCACGTCAATATTTTTTTAAAGATTGACGTGAGTATGTGATTACTATAAGTTGAATATGATATTTAAATGTAATATTTTGAGTTGTACTATATGTGAAAGAAGCAATCGCGGTCAAAACGATCGGAATTGATAAGCGAAAAAATTGATGTGGCTGAGGTAGTAGCTACACCAACTTCAGATACCAATAACGGGAGAGTGCGACCAATCATGTCATTTGCCACATCTAATGCATCGATTCGATCGATTTTCCAGAGACAGAGACGACATAAGAACGTCTTTTCAAGCTGAGTCTTTGATTTCGTAATCTTTGCTTTTAAAAGCATCTTGCGATTGTCACAAAACTTCCATGCTACTCGTAAAGGCACACGACAATGTGGACACAAGACATTGCTGCATAATTTGCAATTTCGCCATCGATACGAAAAACATCCAATGTGACGACCACATGAATTACATACGTTGGAAGATTTATTGCTGGAATCCTCAAAGTTTTTTTTAGTTCGCAACATCCATGCCAGTTTTTTCATCCTTCCATTTAACAACAGTCGTTGAAAAGTAAGCAAAGTGTTGGCAATTTGGGTCATGACAATACTTGTATAGATCTGGTCCCAATACCCCATAGCATCGACGCATCCCGTCATAAAAGTCTCAATTTGACCTTCACTTTTTTGACGAAATAATCGGCAGAATGACATGTGTGCACGTACAATTTGATACTCATGAAGTTCACGCACACCTGTAATTGTAACGGAGTGAAATAAACTGTATCCAACATATTGCCCAGAACTGTCAAGTGCAATTCCCGTCGACTCGAGATACACAAAATCCCGTGGACGAATCAAGTAACTAGCCAACGTTGGTCCTTTTTCCAAAAGTGACCATTTAATTTGTAGTGATCGTAATGGATTCTTTAATGTCGGGGTTATAATTGATGCCAGCTCAGCACAATCTGTTATGTAACTACCAGTACACGCAGATATCGCCAGCATTTCTTCACGAGTTGGATTTAGTAACCCAAACATAATCTCATTGAGTTCACCTGGTGTTGTGCCGTGAGCCATAAGTGGATAAATGCCGCTAGCTCCATTTAATATCGTTTTTTTCTTCACACGCTGACGCATCGAACTGTCTTCGTACAACGTGACGTCTGAAATGCGTTTAATGGGCTTCCATCGCTTGGCAAACATTTCACTTTTGCTTAGCTGTAAACGCTCAAATACATCGATTGCAGCGTCGACGATAGATGCAGCCATAGTTTCCATGTTCTCCATATCTTCTTTGGCTAAATCTATCTCGGGAAATGTATCAGAAGATAAGCGGAACTTCATGGAGAATCGTTTGCGGGGCCACTGGTCCGCAGGGACCAAATGACTGGCTCGATAGTAGGTGCTATTGGAAGGAAGGCATAGGATGAGCAAAAAAGTTCTTCAAGGTGCCAAGATATCAATTCGCAAGACTGTATACCACATACCTAAATACTGAGTAAAATAAATTTTATTTGATTGGACACAACAAAAGCTATTTAGGAAAAGTACTTTGTATGAGCTAATCAAATCTTGCCATGGTTAATATTTGTTTAACTAGAAAGTATTATGAACTTGCTGGAAAAATGTATTGAGGAACAATACTTTATGGTTGCAACACAATGTAGTAACCTGTGATTGTTCATCGTCTGACATGTCCAAGAGCCGAACAGTTTGTGCATTAGCGCAAGAGATGCTATTGTCTGCTAGAGTGAACATTTCGAGTCATGGAGTGAAGGTGGACTTGGGAGCTTTAGCCGGTACTGACTGGTGAGAGTATGTGTCGACTTAATAATACGTTGCGTATGGTACTGAGGTATAAAAGAAGCTAACGACTGCACTACAGACGAATTGCAGAGATATGACTGTCAATCATACCCGACTATTGCAAAGTCGACACGGGATGACTCGCAATCTTTCTTTTCACTACAATATGACTTCATCTATGAGCGTGGTACAGCGACAACCATATCGCATGAGATGACCTACAAAAGTGGATACAGGCGAGGAATAACGGCTAAGGATCTGACTTTGATGCTCTGCTAGGAGGTCAATGCTAATGGAAGACCACGTTTCGCTTTATGGACGATTATTGTGGGGATATTGACGATAGAAACTAATAATGTAGACACCTTAATACACGTAGAGGCTTCTTTCAAAGTGAGTCATCGTGGATATTCGGCTGTAGCCTTGATATATTTGACAACTCAGCTGTCTTTTATAAGAAATTCAAGCGTTTTGCGAGACTGTGGTTATGTCTTTACGTCTGTAAAAGGTGTTAATCTGTGTTGTAGATTGCAAAGCTAAGCGAAACTAAAGTATTGGTACTATGGAAATTCGTATGCGATACATATATTTATCATAGTCTAATATGAATAGTACTTGCTTGTACTATCGTTTTCTCATTTTTGAAATTAAATATATTGCAAGTCTATCGTGGATAAGAGCGTACGTTAGGTACACGGCAACCCCATTGCACTTGGTAGCATTTGTCGTAAATAAGACAACTGAATTTTGCTAGACTGTATATTCTGCGAGTGCGAGGATAAGCATCGTCGTACGCTGCTTCGTATTAAGGTTCATCGAATAAGACAGAGCATTGACTGAAAGCTTTTCGTGGTAAAAAGGCGTACTACACAATGCTACTGTATTAAGGTGGATCAGCTGATAATTTTCAGTATCAATTTGAATCATAAATTAATACTGAAAATTATCATCCTTGAACATATTTGCCGTACGATGTGCTTTCAAAAAATCATCAATTATAAGAGTGACATGAGCGTAAATTTCCGCGATTTCTTTTTTTTCACCCAAACCGAAATTTGGGTGAAAGAAAACAATTTCCTCCATAAATTACACAAGCTCTTCAATTATTGTCCGGAAAATGACCTCTATACAGCATCTAAGCTTCATACTTCTGTATACATTATAATCTTACATTTTATTATCTATTGGCGGATAAAAGGAAATTAATCAAACATGTATATGACAGATTGCGTAAAAAAGACAAATTCAGCATCTACTGATTTTGACAAACCAATTTTCTTTAGTGTTAATTTTGGGCAAGAAGTCTGACTCCCATACAAACTACAACCGTAAAACTGATGTAAAAACTCTACAAAAGCGTATATGCTCATTCACTTGCTTTGCCAGGTCCTCTAAAAGAATATAGTACGCAATAATCAAAAGACAAAACCTTCTCTTCCTCGTCATCTTCACATATACTTCAACGCTTCTATCATTTTTATAACATCTTACAATTATATCAAGTTTGACAACGAGATTTCTCCGGCTATATAGGTTCGTATCTTGATCCCACCCAGACTGTCTGCGTTTTAACCCATTCAATCTGGCTCCTACTTCGGCTACCTAGATCATATATAATCCAAGAGATCAAGCATTACCAGCCACTTAATTATGTAACTCTATAATTGCTTTACCACTCGTCTTAGGTCGTCACGATAATCAGAATGAACAAATATTCTGTTGATATGGATCGCCTTAGTGCCATTTCTAGTATCAATCGGATCCCAGATGACTTAACTTATGGTAGTCATATTACACCTACAAAGATCCAAAGATCTGACATGGAAAATGGAGCATTGCGTGAAGGAAAACCACTTGCTTTATTATCCTTTGAATGTATTGGTTTACTTGCTCAATATGCAGGTGTTGGGTTTCTTACAGGTATAATTCCAGGTGTCATCTATCCTGTACTTCAGGGATATTTGAATGCAGAAGGTACGACGGTTGTCTCTGCAAGTGTCTTAGTCCAAGTTCCTTGGTGTTATAAAATGTTTTTTGGAGTCATAAGTGATTGTTTTCCAATCTTGGGGTACCGTCGTCGTCCGTATATGATCTTGGGTTGGTTATTCTGTATTACGATTCTACTTATTATGGCGGCAATGAATGTTCCTGCTCCATATTATGGTGATTCGACTATGCGTGAAATAGCTCAAGAAGATTGGACTGACGATCAGATTCAAAGTCTTAATCTAGAAGCACCCAATTCTGCTGGTAAATATGTGATTCCAATGATGCTTGCGTCATTTGGATATCTCTTATGTGAAGTAGCTGCAGATGCTATGGTTGTGGAATATGCACAACGAGAACCTATTGAACAACGTGGTCGACTTCAAACTGCAGTTTATACTGTCAAGACGTCATTTACTGCTGTTGGTGCAGCTGTGATTGCATTTTTTATGAATGGAGATGAATACGCTGGTTCCTTTACTTTCGCCTTATCATTTCAAGATCTGATGTTGATTACTGGAATTATTTGTACACCTTTACTTCTTGTTTCCTGGGTTTTTCTACATGAAGAACGTGTGATCAATAAAGTTTCGTTTACAGAATACAATTTAGCATTCTGGAAGATGTTACAAAAGCGTGCAATCTATCAAATCGTTGCATACAAGTTCTTTTCGGGTGTCTTTAATAGTTTTAATATTGTTTCTGCAAGTAACATCAAGATGTATTGGGTGCATGCTACACCTTTTAATAACAGTGTCATGACAATTGTTGGTACAATTTTCTATGCGACCACCTTAGCATTAACTGGTAAATATGGACTTGATTGGAATTGGCGTACAATTATTATCATTACTATGTGTGGAGCTTTATTGATTGACGCTTTCATGACCATGTTTACTGTCTGGGATATTGTTCGCAATCAATGGTTTTGGCTTGGTGTGCCAATGATTGAATATCTTCCAGATGGTATTCGATTCATTATTGCGACATATGTAGTTGTTGAGCTTGCTGAACCAGGACTTGAAGGTGCATTGTATGGTCTTTTAACTGCTACAACAAACTTAACAACACCATTTGGTCGTTCCATGGCTAAACTTGTTAATGCTCAATTCCACGTATGGTTGAATGATATTCAAGCTGATACAACTGTTGTGCGACGTGATGTGACAATTACAATCTGGATTTGTTATTGTATGAAACTTTTATCCTTAGCTTTTCTACCATTGCTTCCTCGTCAAAAAGCTGAAACGCAAGAATTGAAACGTACAGGTGGTTCTAGTCGAATGATGGGATTTATCACTGTGGGGTATCTAGCATTTGCAATCATTTGGGCAACGTTGGTGAATGTGTTATCAATGTATACAAGCACGATGTGTTGGAAAATTACGGGAGGATGTGCGCCAAAGTCATAAGTTGAAAAGCTCGAGAATGTAACATAAGAAAATGAATCTCATGGTTAGTGAGAAAAGTAGGAATTAATGGTAGTAATGACGATTGATATTTTGATAGTAATGATATTTAATATGTAGTGAATATTACGTATTAATAATGGAGTATGTGATGTAATCTAAGATACCCGCTGTGATGTCACATACCGCTGCAAGCAACGGCTTGAGCCAAGTTCTATCAAAGCTCTTCATGAAGTTTGAATATGAGACGGCACATTGCTGAGTCTCGTTTGATCCAATTGCTAGAATATGCTAAATTTACTCATCGCGAGAAGAACGATCAACAGGCAAAACTACTGCACAGTATCATGGCTGATAAGACGAGCTACAGCCAGCCAAACATTCATAAGTGAGGTATGTGTTTATCATCGAAAAGGCGATATTCAAAACCTACTATATCCGATGCTTCCAGACATTTTGTCCATCTTAGCGAACGCAAGAGTAAATATCTCACAAAAATAGGATAAGATCGCAGACAGTTGTATTACGTTTAAATGAAAGCTTATGCGACTTCAGTACGTGACGCTAGGAAATACAAAGCGCGACGTCGACTTCAGGGTGGTTCTCGCCTTCGTCTATAGCTCGTGCTGACACAGCTATGCCACAACCCAACAGCCTGGTCATACAACTGCCGGCCAAGTCTAAATCTTGAAACATGACCGATGCAGCGGGGCTGCCGTAGATCTTTGCTTGAAGGAACCTAAGCTATGATCACTGACGTTACGTTCTTTACAAAAACCAGTACGAGCGTAGCGGATCGCAGTCCGCTACCTCTAAGAGTACTTTCAACCTTAACCAAAGCAAAGAGACGCTCTTTCGCTCGAAATTGAAACTGTTTTCAATGTTTTAGTTGCGGCAGAGCCGTCTATATCTGAAACCTGAGGTTTTTCTTATTGATATAGTAATACCTTGTTAATATGCATTACTACTGGCAGTGCTGCCACGTAATTGTTTTTCGTTACGGTGTAGCCACACAATTGTGTGATTACACAAACTTGTTTAATCCACACCTATGCACGGTCACATCATCTTGAGAGTCTCACCCTTTCATACAAGGGTACGTGTAACACTTTCCTTTATCAAAATTGTGAATATCCACAATTCACAGTCAACAGACGCCTCATACGAGGCTCGCGTGTCTGAGACAGCGTCACGTCTTTACGGATATCCTTTAAAATTCTCCACTCAATCAGCCCTATGTTTATGACACACAAAACACCCAGCCTGGCTGGTTTTGAGGGTGCCCGCGGGCAAAGCCCTACTTTTTCTTCTGCACGCGGTTCAACTCTGGACAGTACGTCCGCGGCTTCACGAGAAGCACATCCCAAGCCCTCAGCAACCGAGCGCCACACACCACGCCCGCTTCGAGCGACGGATTTCCTCGGCGAGTACTTGAAGGAAGTCGAGTACGTGTCGGATACTCCTTTCTCAGCATGGGAAGACGAGAAGGATGAGGTGCGCCAACGGCGCAACGCGAGCCCAGCTCGAACCTTGCGGACACCATGCTCATTTCCCGACCTCTCGACTTACGGGATTGCTACCAATCGCCTCGACAAAGCACAGGAGCAGCAGTTGGAGGCTGCCCACAGGGCAGCTCTCATGCCTTGTATCTACGTTCGGGCTTAGACCCTCGTGTGAAATACAGCTTCCGCTCGGCGGATCCCGCTACTGAAGCAAAAGACGCGATCACTCGATCGTTAGGTGTCTACGTAGTTGGACCCTCGGTCACTACAAAAGCTGAGCTTGATCAACGGAAAGCTCTCCGAGCTCGCTTTTTGGTACCCCAAGAAATGCCAATGGTTCGGTACCGCGCTCGAATTTGAGCTGAAAAAGGAGGCGCTCCTATATCCGCAATGGGTCAAGAAAGTAATATTATCTAATTATGTTTGTTTGCTCAGTTACATCTACAGAACATATAATAAAGACTCAATCTGATCCGAAATCTATGTACGTTTTACTGTCCCATATAAGTAGCATGCCTTTTCTGACGTGTGATTAGCAATTTGAGTGTTTATTGGATCCTTTTTTTTCGAGTTACTGTCATGTTAATAAATACTGAATTTCCTATGGATAATCAATATTACACCAAGTTTGGTTGCAATATCGTACAATGTACTGCATCGTATTTGATACGATACAATCACCAAGATCGCAGAATTTGCTTTGTGACACCCTCCCCCACAAAGCTGAGACCCGACTGGTATTTGCACTTTTATTTTTTGTGACACTGCGCGAAGTTACCGACCAAATGCTGGGCCTGAGGTTCCACTCCACTCTGTGCATTTCACCAAACATGATGTTTTGATCATACATGTACCGAAAGTGTTGTCGTCCATGAAATGATTGACTTTTAAATAGCGCGGTAATAGTATATAAATTCCAGTAGATGATGCAGAGTCTTTTCACGGTGAAAATGACCCCGCTGATTCGTCTAGGCTCAACCAAGCACCACCATACTAAACCAACGTTACACAGCCTATCAGCTCCAAGGAGGAGGCTCTCTCTGCCATCGGCCTCCCTCTCGGACTCAGTGTATCTTTTCATTGTAGTAAAACGACATTATGTCGTGTATCTAGCGACGGTGTTCGCCATTTTCAAAAGAGCTACCAACGGGGCGGGTTGAAATGATAGAGACCAGCTTGTTTTACAGAAAGAAAGGCTCACACTGACTGTTGCCTAAATCATTCCGCCGTGATTTTTTCTCTGATCTGTCTAGGGCTTCTCGCGAAGCTGGTGTAGATCTTCTACACGCGTATGCAGGTGGACATTCAGGAGCAAAATGAGCGCTAAAGGATCGCTTCGCAAAAAATAGTTCGACCCACAGTTTGTCCATCCCTAAGAGTATTGCTTGCGCTTATAGCAGTAGCGGTTAGGTAAACCTGTACAAAAGATTTATCATGAGTACTAGAAGGTGGTTAAAAGCCGCTGAGTGATGGACTCAGTTCGCGGACTGGATGAGGAATACACGCCATTTCACCTGTATTAAGGCTTGCCAAAGTGGGTTAAGCGAAGCGGACCTCTGCCTAGATCGTCCCTTCACAAATAATTTGCAAATTCAAAGCAGGACGCGGATGTTGAGGAACTAACCCATTAGAATAAGTTCCAGATGGTGGATACTCTGCTGTTTCGGCAAAAGAGCTTTTCAAGTCCGCATATCTAATATGGAGGCATTGCGGAACATCTTTAGTCAGCCCACGTGCAATATAAGATGTGTTGTATTCTCTTTGTGATATTCGGAATGTAAATCAGCTCTTTTATAATACGACCTCTAACGGTCCCATGTAGCGCGATCGCAACTCAGTCTTAAAGGCTGCCTGCACTGCATGTGTTTGATTGCATTCACTAAAAAATTAGCACCACAACATATTAGTATTTGTTTCGGCTGCCTCTGGTATTGGCGTATTGCTTTTGTTTCTTTGGCTTTCAGTCATAGTGTCGCAGATTTTTCGCATGACACTTCATCTCATTGAAATACATTCACTGATTCTGCTATATGTTGTTGTCTGGCTGATATCAGAAAGTCAAATTCGCTCGATAATCCTTCTCACTAGGATCCGAGCCACCTCGTGGCGGTGTTGAAGTCGCTTGGGAGTTATCAATCCATTGAACGTGGGGTCCAGTCTTCAGAAAAATGAACTGCGCTATTCATTGCAACTCACTGACCAAGACCACAAAGCTATGTTATCGAAACACTTTGTCGATGAGCAGCTTGATTTTATCCTCACCGGTCAGAAATAAGTTATTTGTTCAGACGGTCCACAAAGACCACAATATTTGTAGATACGGGCGCATCGTTTGAAAGATCGCAGATTAATCTCTTACTAATAGACTACCAGCACTCTGCCACAACGGCAGTGAGGCCAAATATACCGCTACGTGCGGCAGAGATGTAATCAGTTGACACGCTTAACCTGTGCAAACGTATGCTTTACCCTCTTATTACATATCAGGCCACCAACACGTAGCATTTAACGATCAGTATATAGTTTCTCTTCCAAAATGGGCACCTAAAGCGATATAATGTGTCTCGCACAATATTTTGTTTTTGAGGGCCTTATCGCGACTCAATGTGCGTCAATGCTTCAACCCAGCAGTCTTTGGGATGAAGTATAGCGATACAGATTTGCATCCGCGAGCTCCATTTTAGAGATATCCGAGCTTTCAGACCCATTGTTTTCTAGGTTTCTGGTAACGCAATACTTCTGTGCGTACCGCCTACTCAATTGATGATGTCACGATTGTGACACGTAACAATTTATTGAAGGATGACGCAAAAGCAAATTCAATGCCACATTTAACCGACCCGGTCTCTTTTTTACCTCATTGGAACGCTCGGCGAAGAAGGATATCCATCATGCCTCTCGTTGTGAAAGATGTGGTGACGGTGTTGCTGTGTCAACAACGACGAATTGTCTGTGTTGATTACAAACGGTTTAGAGCGAAGAAGGTGCTTGATGAATTTGGTAAATATATATTTTTTCTTGTCAAGTAAAAGTTTTTATATCTGCCGCTTAAATAGAGCAAGGCCCAAACGCAATGACAAATTTATGGGTGATTTGCTAAAAGTAACGCGCAGGCGAGGCAAAGGCTAAAGCGTGGCAGACAACATGGAGTGGCTAGTTCGGGCGCTAAAAATATAGAAACTATGGTACGCATCGTTATGAATTTCACAACCTTGAAAGCCATCTCTTTCGCCTCCATCGGAATCTTTTTAACATTCATTATTGTTAAGGGCCGCGCAATGTCAGCATAATTTGCACCTCTCTTCTGCAAAAAGTTGGCCAGGCCAAGCCACTTTATTAAGTACCTCAAAATAGGCACTGTCTCATCGTCAATAATATATACTATGCGGGATCTACCAGCACGCCATAGGTCTGCGGGAGTGAGCCTCGAAATGAGATTTCGTCACTGATAATGCCACTTTGTCTATACTGGCCGACAATAATTATAAGCACAAACACTAA